GGCTGGGTGGTACCGCCCGTCCCTGGGAGACAGCGGCCGCACCGCCCGCCCCTCCTCCCCGGGCCTGACAGGAACCGGGAGGGCCTCCGCGCGCCTCGGAGCCCGCGCGCAAGCAGGGAGTTGGGGAGGAGGGCTGGCTGGGTAGGTCTCCCTGTCTACCGCGGGAGGGTCTCCCAATCCGGGCCCCCTAAAGCCAGGGTTTGGCTCTTTCCTCAACCTGACGTGCCAAGATGGCGGCGGCACCACGGCTCATGACGGGAGGAGGGGCAGGAATGCGAGGAGGGTGGGACGTACCATCCCCACCCCGGGGGAGAGAGGAGAAACACAGCGAGGGGAAAAGAAGTCCTGCCGGGAAAAACAAGGAATGCCCCCTGGCTCCACCCAAGCGTGGATCTTCCCACTCCCCTGGGCCCGGGGCGCGCTCCACCCGCGGGACACGCCCCCTCCCCCCAGGGCCAATGAGGGAAGCCAGCTGGGAGCCCTGGGTTTTATGAATGGGTCCCGCTGCCACCCACCTGCCGCTGGCCCCATACCTCCATAGGGTCGAGTTCAGAGACTGGCCAGACTGGCTGATACCTTAAGTCACCTATCCTTCAGCAGAGAATCATAATCGTCTTACTCTCTGGCTCACTTGATGAAATATTTGAGTAAACTGCCCACGCTTTCCTACATAATCCCTCTCTTACTCTCCATACATTGGGTTACAAGTTGCGGGTCAGTATTGTTCTGCAAGGGAATTGAGGGATTCAGTACTCATCACAGGTGGCTCTTTACAGTTATAAAAATAAATATAGCCTTTATTACCAAGTAATAAAATAAAAGACATAATTCACCCTATCATAGGGAAGCAGGATGAGGTGATTAAATGACTAACAAGTGAATGTATTTTCTCTCTGGGGAAGGACTGGGTTTTAAGCATTACAGTGCTCGGTATTATAAGTGACCAAAAAAAAATCCAAATTCGTTTTAAGCAGAATTAGGAATTAGCAGAACAAGGAACTAGCCCAGCTAATGTGTGGGGTCAAGAATGCCTAGGAGTTCATGGGTCAAATGAGGGCTTCTGGTGAAAGAAGAGAAGGAAAAGGAGTAAAGATAGTAGACTGATCCATGAGTTTGGGATTTTTTTAAATATCTGACTAAAAAATAACAGCAAACAACCCCTGAAAATCTAGAACTGTAGTAAGATTACTACATGATAAAAAGGAAGCCATTAAATAAATAGCTTCCATTTTATTTTCTGTAAGAGCCAACAGGGAGCACACTGGCCATTTGGTCCTGACTCCTAAAATCATTTGACTTCAACACTGCACTGCCCACATGGGAGACTCTAAGCAGTGTAAAATGACAGATACCCTAGATCCTACCAATAAACCCAGGCCCCTCCAAAACTAGCCAGATTCAAAGAGGAAAGAAAAGCTGACCTGCCTTACTGGGTTACTTGATAACAAGATACAATGCGGTTCCGTTACATAGTAAAGTCACTTACCAAGCAAGATACTCTCACAAAGCTAACTTCTTTTTTTCAAAAGCATGTAAAAATTATACATTTGTACATATACACACTATACTTTACAGTTTGAAAGATAGTCCAAATGGTTCAACAGTTCATTTAGGGGTTTTTTTGCATTGTTTTCCTTTCCAGATTCTTTGTCACTCCCTTAGCTCTGCCCTAATCTGACATCATTCCATCACATTATCTACTAAATCAAGTAAATGTTCTTTTACCCCAGTAAACACAATCTATCTGGGTGACTCTGGAGACAGAGGTTTCTGAAAGGTCCAGTCTATACTGAGGTGCTAGAATAGGTCTGTTCACACAGATGGAGGGAGGAGGCATAAGCTCTCAAGACCACAGGGTGTAGTATTCCAGAACAGGATGAGTACTCACACCTAGTGCCCACCCATTAAAAAACAGTTTAAAACCCACTCTGCACCCAGTGAAAGTTACTGAGGGTCCTATAGAGCAAGTCACACTGGTTCTCAAAAGAAGTGGGCTGTTTCCGGAATCCATGGAGGAGAGTCACTTTGAACAGTGGTGGTTTGACATCTGTGGAAAAAGCCATTTGAACTCTTATAAAGAGAATTTTTAAGGAGTGGGCAGCCTCCCTGGAAAATTCAGGAAAACCAGCAAGAGGGGATGGCTTTCATCTTTTCATGAAGTTCTTCTCCAGAGCTACTGAGGTTCTCTGTAGAGAGTAAATATTCCGCTTCACCCGATCCTCCAGGGACGAGGTAGATGCGCTCTCTAACTTCATGCGGCTAGAAGAGAAGACAGGTGAAAGTAGGTAACAAACATCTGTCAACTGGTCGACTGTCTGGCAGATTTAGAACAAGAAGTTGCCAGTCATAAAACAGCGGTAGAAACACAAGCCCTCTTAAGCCCATGTAGATAAAAGTGATCCATCTGGAACTCAACTGTTTTATAAATTGTTACGGGAAAATTTATCTGTTTTGGAAAGTAAGTCAAAGCTTCATTTGAAAAAGGCTTCCTGAGCCATGAATTCTTATTTACAAGGAAGGCCAAGGAGATTCAGTGAAAATACCAATTCACTTCTGCATTCAAATGACAAACATCCCAGTGTGGCCAAAAGCTGGGAGTAATAATAAAAGTATCTGGAGGCTGAGCTTGGTGTTCTCTCTGCACAGACGCAGAAACACCAGGAACACAATGAATGACTCAGATGCCCAACTGCCTCCTTGGGACTATCTCCATGAAAGCCGTTAGGCAGGAAAAAGATGCACTTACTGGATAAACTTCCCATCCCGGGAGTCCAGCTTCTCCAGCCTCTGCTCCCGTTCGTCATCCTTTGCGTGCCTCTTAAGGATGTTCAGCCTCTCCTCCTCCCGCCACTTGGCGTTTTCCATCATCTCTTGCCGTTTTCGCTCTAGTTCCTCTGATGAGAGCTTTCTGTTGAACATAAAAGCCACCCTAAGGTCTACTTCTCTCCCAGAAAAAAAACTAGGGACACCACAGGGAGAAGAGAAACCAGGCAGGACCCTGGGTTCTCCAGCTCACGGCTCTCTTCCCATGGAAATGCCTAGCCCAGTGCCAGGCTCAGCATGAGGTTTCTTCCTTCCTAACATCTTGGTCAGACTTTTAAATGAAGGATTCCATAGTCTCACTCAATAATCTCTGGGGTAATTATTCTGAAACATTAAATACAAAAAAAATGAGAGCAAATCAGGAACCTAAATCTATAGCAACTATATTCCAATCGTTTGCTCAACAACTTACAGAAGAACTGAGGACTTAATTTACCCATGTGATGGTTGATATCTACCACCTACCCACTTGACATGCTTAGAAATTCAGGGGTGCAACACATTGAGTATACCACTTTAGGGCTAAGCTAGAGGCAGATGCCTGAAGAATTCTACTTAGCCTCAGACAGTAATGGGTAGTCTTTGTTCCTGGCACTCACTGCAAAAGATGAGCAAGAAGAGGACGTGATGAAACAGCTTAACACTATTTAACAATGTCAGAAATCCAAATCCATTGATTCTCAAATTGATGTGATGTACAGGTCCCCCTTTAAAAGGAAAAATAATGACTGGACTCCCATAAGGGAGTAGGAGCCCAATTTTGAGAAATAAACTTAAGATGCTAAAATCCAACATTTAGTGATCTGTAGTGAAATGACAAGGCTTCCCTTCAAAAACACCACTAAATAAAACAGATGAAACCACAAAGAGAATGGGAGAGGAGATAAAACTGGATAAGAGATGTGAACAAATTGGCAGAAGAGGAAATAGATGAAGGAGAGGTAACCACTTAACAGATAAGAAGAAACTGAATCCTAAGTGCCTGATCCTGATCTGAAGCAAGTGGATTCAGACTGCAAAATCAAGGAGAGGTTCAGGGACTGCAGGCACCAAGTACTGCGGAGAATGAAGCACAGGGCTGAAAACAAAGGGACTAATTTAAAGTCTGTATAAGGAGCAATTAAGACACCCCTGGGTCCTCATGCCTGACTCAGGGAAGCCAGTGACTTCTCTCCCAAACATCTACAGGAGACACTCCAGAGGGTAGACCCTCTGATAGTTTCTGGAGAAACAGAACCACACAAGAGAACCACAATAGACAACTATATACAAAAGAATGAAACAGAACATTTTCTCACACCATACACAAAAATAAACTCAAAATGAATAAAAGGCCTAAATATAAGACCAGAATCCATAAAACTCTTAGAAGAAACACAGGCAGAACACTCTTTGACATAAGTTGTAGCAGTATTTTTTTGGATCTGTCTCCTCAGGCAGACAAACAAAAGCAAAAATAAATAAATGGAACCTAATTAAATGCTTTTGCATAATAAAGGAAACACAAAAAACAAAAAGACAACCTACTGAACGGGAGAAAATATTTGTAAATGATCTGACTAACAAGGGGTTAATATCCAAATTACATAAACAGCTCATACAACTCAATATCAAAAACAAATAACTTAATTAAAAAATAGGCAGAAGACCTGAACAGACATTTTTCCAACAGGCACATGAAAAGATGCTCAACACTGCTAATCATCAGGGAACTGCAAATCAAAACTACAATGAAATATCACCTCACACCTGCAGAATGACTATTAAAGAGACCACAAATTAAAAAAAAAAGACCACAAATAACAAAGGTTGGCTGAGGATGTGGAGAAAAGGGAACCCTAGTACCCTGTTGGTAGGAATGTAAATTAGTATAGCCACTATGGAAAATTGTATGGAGGTTCCTCAAAAGAACTAAAAATAGAACTGGCACATGACCCAGCAATTCTACTTCTCAGTATATATCTAAAGAAAACAAAAACA